GAATCTCTATGATTTCCTTACCTAAGGTTGTATCATCTAGAAAGACAATTTTATTTTCTCCTTGGAAATTTGGATGCTTTTTCTTTCCTAGTTCCTTTATCTAGGACTGCCGGCACTACAGTGAATATAAGTGGTAAAAGTGACCATCCTTGTCTTGTTCCTTATCTTAGAGAATCCTGGTAGCATTTCACCACTTAGTATGTCAGGAGTTGGGATTTATTATGGTGAAGCACATTTCTTGTATAATTTCTTGGGAAATTTTTATCATGAAAAAATGTTAAATTTCGTATAATGCTTTTTCTGTCTTTATTGAGCTGATCACACATATTTTAAAATTCATTGTAGTATTGATATGTGATAGATATATTATATTTATTTATTTATGTGTGGTGAACATCGTGCATTTCAGGGATAATCTTCCTTTCTCATAAAATGTGGAATTCAGTTCGCTGGTACGTTTTTCTTTTTGAATCTATATTCATTCTTAATTCATCATATGTCTGTTGTAATTCTCTGTATGCCTATTTTGTGAAGATTCTTAGTTACATTCATTCTTCTTACCTTTTGACTTACTTTCTGACTAAACTGAAAAAAACATATATCACACAATTAGGAAAGATGTATATTTTTAGCTACTTTTAAATATTTCTTCTAGCCATTATATATTTGACATATTTCATATTCATAAATGTTTATTGTTGTTATGTCTTAGTGGATTATTTCTGTTATGACTATTAAACATCTTTTATGATAACCTGGAATTTTTACCTTAAATTCTATTTTGTCTGAGTGCAATGTTGTTATCGAATTAACATGTCATCATTTGGGAAGTATTCTTTTTTTTTTTTACATCACTATATTGTCAACAATTCTTTATTCCTTTTTTTTCAGGTTTGTCTCTGTTAAGTAATAGATAGCTAGGTTTTCTTCCTAACCAATCTGATATCTCTGTGTTTTAAACAACCTGATAAAACTACATATTTATTATAAAAATGAATGTTTCTATTAATATTTTTGCTTTTATTTACCAAGAATTTTTAACCTTTCTTGCTCTCTGAAGATTAGATTGATTGTATTTTGTAGCATGCTCCTCTTCTGCCTTGATATTTTCATCTATTCTTTTGGTTTTATCTTGTGTCCATTTTTTGTTCAAACACAGAAACTCACACATTCCTAAAAGAAGCCTAGAATATCCATATTGTATCTTTCTCTACAAGACAAGAAAGTTAATATTTTAGTTTTAGTCTGTGCACATTTTTAGTTCACACATAAAATCTCCTCTATGTCCTATCCTCTTCAAAAGATAAGAAAGTTAGTATGCATTTATTTCCAAGAGTGAAAGACTCCTTCTTTTCCCTCTAATTAGTACTGAATTTTAATTTCCAAAATATTTGTTAATACATGATGCATACATGCTTAGTTTCAAATTAGCACTATTTTTTCAATGATTGACTTGTTCTCACGTTTCTTGATTACTTCTTTACAGATTCACTTTTCTTCTTACTAAAATCATCTCCCAATCATTCTTTCAAAGAAAGGAGGCGTAAACCTTCTATTTGAAAATGCTCTTAATTTATGGGAGAAACTGAATGGCTGACTTATTCCAAAGTCCCTAGTAGGATTTGTGTTCCCATCCCTTCCTCTTCATCCTTTCTGCTGAGCCCAATTTGATTATCTAACAGCTACTGAACCCCTAACTATCTTACAGTTCCCAAGTCCTCTTCCATAGCTAATATAGCCTTAAAATTCCTCATACCTTCTGAGAATTGGAACAGTGAGCAATTCTCATAACATAGTGGGATGTTGACTTACTTTCGTCAATCAAGCATATAAGTTCTTTACTCTCTCTGCTCCCCAGCAGAACAGCTGCTTTGAACTGTTTTCATGTTGTGATGGTTTTAATAAAGGCTTAAACTGACAGCTTCTAGTGTTTTTTATTTTTCTTTTACCATTCTCCAATTTATCCTCCCTGTTAAATAACAGTTTGACTGAATATTTTTCCCTTGATAATTTTGAATATTTTGTTCCCCTATTTCATGGCATACAGTATTGCCAATGAGAAACCCTTTTTCTACAGTGAACATTCCATATTCTGGGGCTGGCACTTTTCCCTGCTTCTTCAACTTCCTGCTAGGGTTATAGCTGACTGCTCTGGCTTTCTACATAGTTTCTTTTAAAGACATTCCATAATTTCTGCCCCCCAAATCCTTCCTCTGTTTTGCAAAAATCTCAAAGTACTTGTCAATTTTCTTGAAAATATACCTTTACAAGTCACTCAGGGATTTTGTGTGAACAGGGGAGATTTCCACATGTACACACATTGAAGAAATAGTCTTGCTTTTGTTTGGATGGGTCTGTGTGAAACATTTATTGTGAATTTTTGTATATCTGTTTCCTTTAGATTAAAAAAAATGGAGTGTACAAAGTATTGGATGTTTCTTTTTTCATCTTCTTAATTGTCTTGCCAGCTTTCTGTACCTGTGCATGTGCCCTGTGAGTGCTGTGTGAGGCACCAATTGGAGATCAGTGGGAAGAGATTAAAGCTGTTTGGGTTCCTTATTTCCTAGCCTCTGTGCTCTGCTTCACAACCCATACTACTCCACCCTTGGGCTCTATCCACTATGAAGACAACACATTCCATGAAGTCCTTCCTGTGCATGCCACAGTACCCCTTTCTTCCCTTCATTCCCTTCCCTTCCGGTCTAGGGCTAGCAGTGGCTCCCAAGGGTGCTACCATGGAGAACTGCATTTTCTTGGTGGCTTCTCGGCACCCTACCCTAAACCTACATCTTTGTAATTCATGCTTGTATTGATGCTTCTCAAAGCATTAAGTTCAGTATCATTTCTTTTGCCCTGGATACTGACTAATACATAAACAAAAGCAAACAGAAGAAAAGGAAGCAATAAAGCAAACAGGTAACTTAATTCTACAGCTTTTTTTTTTTTTTTGGTGTTCCATAATAGAATAAAATATTTAAAAAAGAATGTAGGGACCCGAGTTAAATCCCCTGTACCAAAAATAAAAAAAGAATGTAGATGAAGAAAATTTACTTTAGTTAAAGGAAATGTGCCACAGAAGGAGCATAGCAGTAAATGTTTTATGAGTATAAATATAAAGCTGAACTTCTCTGCATGTCCCTGGTCCTGCTGTGTGGATTCCTGGGTTTGGAGGGATAGAGGTCTCATTGATACACATGTTTACGCAGCCCAGTGGGACTGGCCTGCAGATGTACAGGCACTTAGAGATGGAAAGGGCCATGGGGAGTAGCTAGTGCAGCCACGGGCAGCTCATAGTGTGGCATAATAGATAAAATATCCGTGGATTTAATTTGTGAAGCAAATATTTAAAAGCCACCCTGCATGGCCAATTATTCAGTGTGCCACTACAAAATTTCAGTGGTTAAAATATAGCACTGATTTTCTCATTGGCATTTTGGAGAGAAGCTAGCAGTGACAACAGGTAGCATTTTCTGAATGCTCACTATGTGTGAGAGATTCTGTTCAAAGCTTCACATATTTCAAGCCTGGCATGCATCATTTCACTAAACTCTCACCTAGATACCATGCAGGGGGCCTGGGGAACTGTGTATATTCCAATTTTACTGATGAGAATAAGTCAAAGAAAGGGACTTGTGTGTCATTAAGTAATAGAGCCAGAACTCACACTTGAATGGTTTGACCCTGCCTCCTCTTGTCTTATGCAATGCAACATTTTCTTTTCACAGCTTGCATGCAGACAAATACGTGAATGTAGAATTTGGAAACACTGCTGTGTCTGTAATAAGCATATATGTTGTTTCCAGTTATTAAATGCACCATATCACTTTAAATGACTACATCATATTGCTGTATCAGTTTTACTCAATTTTATAGGTAGTTGTTTGCTGTTTCCTCAATAATTCTTGTTCAATCTTGACTCCCTCGTATAATCTCTGACTCATAAATTTCCTTCAGCTTCAAGTTCTCATCTGTGAAATGGTGATAGAAATAATATCACCATTTGAATGACTGTTGCAAATTGAATGACTAAATATATATGACTTTAGATATTAATAATGGTTATTATTTAATAGAATGTTAAATGTTGCTCTTTCAGGAGTGGGGTTATATATGACTTGGACTTTCTCAATTTTGCTTACCATTATATACTTTGTAATATTTAAAAATACTGTATAATAAGGAAAATTAATTGGAGGGTTTTCTAAAGCAAACCATTTGATTAAAGATATAAAAGCTAAAATATACTTTGTATTTTCTGTCCTCCAAGTGGTCTCACTGATCAGGAACAGTCACCAGTATAGGCTGAATCTGTGGAGTTTTACACCCCTGAACTGTGCTGTCCTGTATTGTTTTACACTTGTCAGTATTTCACACTCTGTGCCACTCACAAGTGGTTTCACAGTTACTTATTAGCCCTTCCCCTTAAATAAATACACAAGAACCTTGCTATCATTGCTTTGTATTTATTCCCAATGCTTGTACTAGAAAGAGAGTTATCAATTCCCATGCACTCCTTAGAACAACACTATCATTCTTTGACAGCCTTGTACGAATCTAATTTGAAATCTTTATTCTGGGGCGACTCAAGCATTGTACATTATACTGTACTCATGCATTGGGCTTTAAACAGGGCTGAGATGGTGTGTGCTACCATTTTACTCAACAAGAAAATAAGTAGGAAATACATCTTTAAAGTAGATTATAAGTCTAGCTATAACACAAATTATGGGCATGATTAACCAGAATTTAGTCTTTACTGCTTTGATTCTGAAATGAAACTTTTTTCTCCATAAATCATCTCATGTCAAATGACTTTGCAAAAACATGTAAGAGAATGTCATAGGTATGTGAGAGGAGAGAAAAAGAGACAGAGAGAGATACAGAAAGCGTGCATTTCAAGCAAAATACCTTTGAACACATTTGATCAATTAGAAGATTTCTGATTTGACATAAATATTAATGAAGGAATATGACACAATCCTTGAGGTGTTTTTTCTTTTATTTAAAATGGTAGCTATTACATCGTACAACACATCATACAACAAATCAAGACTTTAGGATCACATTAAAACTTTTAAAAACATCTTTATATAGGCACAAAACATGAAACATGCTGCAGGGACACAAATACAGCTTGATATCAAAGTCTCAGTGCATTTTCGCCATGAAACCCAACAAGAAAACTCATTTGCACAGGAGTTTTCTCCCACTCTGCAGCAGCATGGCTGCATCAAATCAATTATTTCCTCCTTTGGAGACCATATCGCAGGTTTTACAATTTCATTGAACACTGTGCTTTCGTGAGAAATCATTGTTGTTTTCTACTTCTGAGGGAGTCATTAGAGTTATAACACGTTTACAACACATATTGGCACGATATGAAAAATAAACACTTTTTCTGAGTTGTTCAGCTCATAACAATAATTGTTTTTAAATAAATAATTATTCCACATAGTGCATGTTTTATTTTTACCTTAATTGCCCACTGACACAAATGAAGCTGAATAAATAACATGTTATGAAGTTTATTTACGTCTTCTTTCGTAATTCTGCATTGCGTTCCTCTCATAAGCCACTGAAAACAGAGAGGCAGTAGAATGTTTCAAGAAGGTTCAATGAGCAAATTAAATAAATGAAGTTCAGTGCATGCAGTAATTTATTATAAAGTCAAAATGACGTTTCCCTTCCACTGAAAGCCCTGAGAATTTTATTTGTACATCTTAAATCCTCCCTCACTATAACCTGATTCTTAACCACAGAACTCTCGGTTTCATCAGCCATCTTCAGTCATATGCAGTGCCCCGGAAGCAATATATTCTGTGCCTTCACATACGGCGGTGGTGCTTTCACAAGCTTTCTTGAGCACGGTCAGACACTAGAAAGAACCGTGCCTAAGGTAACCAGAAATTTCGGTGGGATAAAAGTGAACTGAGATACTTTTAGTCTAGGACAGAGGTAAATAAACTACAGGCCACTGAGGCAAATGTAGCTCACAATTAGTTCATGTAAATACAATTTTATCAAAACATAGACACATTCACTTTGTGTTTGGGATTTCAAATGCTAGATTTGAATAGTTGCTACAAAGACCATATATTTACAAAGTCTAAAATATTTTCAATCTAGTTTTTCCTTCAGAAAAACTTTACAATATCTGTTCTAGAGGCTCCTAATGGCATGAGAATATCTCCCTCCCTTGTGGGTGCCTCCAGATGCAAGTCTGTCCTGGGGACTAAATCAGACTTGTTTTCTGTAGTAAAATCAACTGAACCTTCTAAGGGCTGCACAGTTCTAGTTACTTTTCAGCATGCTAGTGGCCCAGGAAAGATTAATTACTGCTTGCAAAGGCACTCAACATATAGCTACTAAGTAATTTAAGTATCTTGACTCTCTGGACCAAAAAAAATTCCAAAAAATGTTATGTTACATTATTATATTATATTATATATAATTTCAAAGGGCTCTAGAAACACAAAAGATCTAGGACTAAACTATTATAATCATACAACCAAAAACAGTCTTTATCTTCTTAGGCAGTATTTCTTTCCCTTAAACTTACATTACTGTAAAATTGTTTAATTAATTGTTTTCTAAACTTCGGTTTGCCCCATAGAAAATACTGAACATAAGTAGTACTACTCTAAATAGCTTCCTTGATTAGATTAGAAAGGTTTGTTGAGAGAGAAGGTAGGTAAAGGCACCAGAGTTAGCACTTCCCTCACTCTCTAGATAAACAATAAACAGAGTTTTACATCAATTATGCATACTATTCTGAGAACCAGACTGAGCTCCCTCTGAAGCAGACAGTTCTGAAGGAAGAAATAGCTCATTTCTCACTCTGCTGTTTTGATTTATTTATTTTATTTATTTAGGTACTAGGGGTTGAACCTGGGACTTTGTGCTTGAGAGGCAGGCAGTGGAATCACTGAGGTAAAATCTCCAGCCCTCCTGTGTTTTTATTAGATGAGGGATGAATAACACAAGTTTTAGGTAACAAGACTTTGTTCCTCAGAGTGAGATGAGTGCTAATTAAACAAACTACAAGAAGATTAGCCATTTAGCTGGACATAATATCTTTTTCAAGGAACAGAAAGTTTCTTATCTGGTCCACGAACCCTCTGAAAAGAGACGTCAGTTTTCCATGTCTGAGCTGGTGAGGATTTCTCTGGGAGAGGGCTTCTATGTTATCAGCTTGTCAAAGTGGCCTGTGATTATGAAACAGAGTCAGGAGGCTCTGTAATTAGACTGTGATGACCTTGTAGCAACTGAATATATGAAATAGTCTCTGACTGACCATGGTTTATATATATTTTTTTGTGCTTTCTTAACTAAAATGGAAGAACAAAAATGTAATTATGGTGATTCTATTCATAGTTACCTATAACCACACTATTACCTTAAGTATGTTTAATCTATTCTAAATTGCATTATGTCTATATTTGTGAAGTGAAGCATATTCTGAAAGCTGTATTAATTCTGGAATTGAGATGATGACTAATACAGTTATTATGAAAATCATAATTATGAGCACATTAGTATACATAGATACAGATAAATGCCACTGTTGTTTAAATTTCCCATATCCAAAAGCTGGGGTACAATGTATATTAAAAGGATCACAAGTTTTTCCTTAGGAACACTGATAACTTCTTTTAAACTTAAATTTGAATAGATCCCAAATTACCGGTGAGAAATACAAAAATAGTCTATAAATCTGAAAAGTGAGAAACCAATAAAAATACTCGGATACTGTTTTTTGCATTAATCCAGATAGCTAAGAATTAAGCCAGCATATCCTACAGATTTTCTAGAAAGTAGAAATATTTTCAATGCATATGACAACTACTAATTACTAATTAGACAATTAGTATTTTAATTTATTTTCATGGATGAAAAGAGAATTTGAATAGCTTTTCTAAGGACCCTCCATAAAGGACTACCAGGCTTACACGTGCTTAACAAAAAGTCAGTTTCCAGGAAAATGATTATAGGAGTTAATTAACTCTCAAAACAGTGTGGCCGATGAGTTACAAAATAAGGGTATTCAGACATTTGTATGTGGAATTTTCAGAAGGTGCAAACTAAAGGAAGGAATTAGGTAGGGCTTTATATCCAACAAAAGAGTTGTTTGAAGTTGAAATGAGTTATGAGAATTTTAGTATTCCTTCTCTTTAAGGGTTTTAGAGCCTGAATTGATTTATAACACTCCAGGATGATTTGATTGTGTTCCCTTTTGAAAGCACTGGAATGAAACATATTGCTTATCTTTTCTAACATCCATTAGGACATTTAGATTTTGACCTTCTATAACTTTGTAAAGAGGGAGTGACTTGATTTTTGTTTATTTTTGTGTCACAAGATTACCAGATGTAACTTTGGTCATAAGTGAAAATCTTTTATCTTTCCCTGTACCACCCCCCTCCCTACCTCTGCTGGTTTAGTAAGGTTGAATATGGCTTGCTGAGCAGATCTATGGGAAAGAGTATATTGTATTAAGCTAGCCCCAAGATTCAGAGTGGGCAGTGGCGAGGGGGCAGACACTAATAAAGCTGGTGGTCTGAGGGAAGTAGACCGATGCTCTAGTGATGTCAGATTAATCAGCTATGTACATTCTTGACTACAAGCTACAATTCAATTTTTCTCATATATTTTCATTTTAAGTCCATAATAGACTTTTTAATACTTTGAAAATTATACCTCATAAAATAATAGTAGTAGATTTGAGATACTATTTTCAGTCATGGTTTTATACATACCAGAATTTAAAGCTCTTTTGCCCATTAGTCCAACAAAGGAATCTGTTTTATGCCCTGGAAAAATACATTTGGGGTATTTTAATATGTGTATATTTGAGGAAATAAATAGTTATAACTTGTATAAAACAGCAAGATTCTGAATATATGCATCTTCTAGTTTGGGTGAGCCTGAAGAAATAAAGATTCCTTATAACTCTTATAAATTAGGCTAAACCAATACAATTAAAGCACTTTTGTTAATCTACATTTAAATGTTAACAAGCACCTTTTATCTATAATATACTTTGTTATATAAAGATTTAAATATTATTGCTGTTTGAGTTAACTTTGATTTTCAGGAAATCAATTTCACATTTTTTGTGACAGTGAAATGTCCAAGCTTATTTTTTCAGGTTATTAAACATGTTGTATTCTTTAGCAAATAAATCTCACTGAAGTCTGAGCCTTATCTTGGATAATTGTAATCCCCTAAAAAATCACTATTTTATTGAATTTTAAAAATACTCCTTTTGGGGAAGTATATAAGGTTTGACACTAATAGGGCACATTTATTTTTACTACACAGAGTTTTGTAATTCCTTTGAAAGTGAAATCCTTAGAAGTAAATATGACTGATTCATTTTCAAAGATGAAGCCCTGGGAAAAGGTTACTATGTTAATAATGCTGGAGGGAAAATTTCTTTTGGTCTTAACTGTCTTCATTGAGAAGAGGGCTGCCACTTCATTGGCGCCTACTCGGTCACTCAGTGAGGCAAACTTGTGATTGTGCAGTGGTGGACAGCATGATCAGATGGACTGGAGACTTGCCATTAACTCCGGTCGCATAATCTTGGAATTTTGAGCTGATGACCCTCCAGTGCCACAATTCTGTTCCTTCCCTATCCTGAGAAAGTTCACTCATCTTTGACAAATTTAGGTTCCCACTTAATTTGGAAATAAAAAATAAATTGCATCTCCATTTATCTTTACCTTTTGTGTGGATTTCCTTCATAGATAGTCATGCGTTACACTTAACTGACTATGTCGACCTCCTCAACATGATGTTATGGGACTGAACTCACTGAGTTACAAGTTACACAAATGTTTGGTTTTGTGCAGTGTAAGTGGGCATGGGGGAGGAAGATAGAGATGAATGTATGTGATGGATTTCTGACCATAGTATAGAAAATAAAACTAACAATTTACAGGTAGTAAAAGATTTTTTCTTTTTTGGCATAATGCATCTTTTTGGCAATTACAGAGTTTATTAATAAATTACAGTTTATTCATAATAGTATTTATTTAAGCACATTCTGGATGAGAGTTTCCTCCCTTATGTTATCTTAATTACAAATATTAGGTTCTAAATTATGACTGAAATTAAGGTAATATGAAAAGTAGAATTTAATATAATTAACATTAACATAAATATCAAAATAATTTTGAACTTACTTTTGTGAGAGATCTGGCCATGTCCTGGAATAAAGAAAAATAAAATTAACAAACACATATAGATTTGTTATAAAGACAGTACATTCTATCTTTGAGATAATTATACAATAAATTGATTTAAAAATATGTCATATTTTGTTTTCATATTATTCTGATGAATGTAGAAGAACCATAAATGCAAAGAAAATTACTTATAAAACTAAATATTTTAGTAGACAAAAGGAGTATTAATTGCCTTCTGTGGGCCATGGATTCAAAGCCAGAACTATCAGAGTCTTGTATTAATATAAGCTATGTTGTACCATCCAATATTTTCAAGGCTGGCTGCTCATTTCTGAGAGAGAGAAAGGGAGAGGAGAGGAGAGGAGAGGAGAGAGAGGAGAGAGGGCAAATCTGTGTCTTAATTAAACAGGCATAAGTACGATATTGTTTTTCAGCCCATAAAAGATTTTCTTCACTTTCCTACATGTGCATTCACAATGGTAAAGTAGAGATGTATAGGAATGTTTACCATAAAGAGCCTTTAACAGGGCCACTTGTTTTTCAATTGAGGAATCTGACAAGAGACAATTGACATTAACTATTCACGCGTTCCACCGATGGTGCAATGAACTCAGGGAAACTGAGTATTTCTATCAGGTGACACGGGACAGCCAAAGCTAATCCACCCTGAGAACGCTGAAAGGTTGGCTTTCACCTGCTCCCTGACAGTGCAGAGTACTATCCCTTGGGGACCTGTGCCTTCCTTTGCCTTGAGTTTTCTATTTGTAGTCAAGGCAGTACCTAGCTAAGGCTGGTTCCTGTTTCAGGTCACTTTCGTACTGTGAAGCGTGCAACAGGGGTCCGGCCCTGGAGTGGAGGTGGGGTAGGGATGGGGGTAAATTATGCTTCAGTGAGACTCGGGCTGGAGTCTCAGTCTGGGAGTCACAACCTTGAATCCAGGGTGCACATTTCTACCCCAAAGAGGAAGAAACACTTGGGTGGGCGCTCCAGAAACAAGCGCGTGCCTGCCCCCAGAGACCAATGGACAGTTGCTCGTCTCACCAGCTTCCCGTTTGCCCATTAGTCCAAAGAACTGCTGAGGCTTGGGTCTCCGAGCAATTCTCTGCAGAAAATGCTCAAAAGGCTCCGGCAGCTCCTCCTGGGGGACAAGAAGCGAGAAGGTAGAGTGAGCGCTCAGGAACAGAGCCGTTTCCACGCTGCAGCGAGGGGCTGGGTGCTCAGCGTGGAGGTCAGCTTCGCATGGGGCGAGGCGAGAAACCCACGGACTCCGGGTGCCTCCGCCGAGCAGGGTTCAGCCTGGCGCTCTCTCCACCCCTACGCCCCCCAGGCGGCCTCCTCTTCTCCGCCCTGACTACTTAGCAACAGCTGGGTATCTTCCAGCCTCGAGCGTTTCCTGCCCTCTCCTCCCGTCGGAGAGTCCCTTCCTGATCTACAGCGCCTCCCCTGACTTCGAGGGTTGTCTGGGGCGGACCTTAGAGACCCTTCACGGCCCTCAGAGCACAGAGGTGGGTGTGGGAGCGGGCGGAGTTGGGGGTGGAGAAGGTGGCTACACTTCCCCTGCGGGGTGCACCTCAGGGCTTTCAAGATTCCCGAAGGCGCACCTTTCGCGCCAGGGCCCCGGAGAACGGCCTGAAAGTAGACTTCGCCACCTCCCGAGGCCCTCGAAACAGAGGCAGGAAGTGAGCTTCCCCGCAACCTCCGCTCTGGAGGCTCCCAGCGGCCCGCCCGGGACTGTCGAGCGCTCTTCAGCCCCTGCCCAGCAGGCAGCTGGCAGCGCCGTCTTACGGTGGAAACAGACAGTGGGCACAGGACGCCCCGCGGGACCCGGGGGGCGACGCTCGTGACCTCCCCACCGCGCGCCCCCACTGTCTCTGGGCCGCGGTTCCCTCCAAACTCCCCGGGGTGCGATCTGTCGCCAGCTAACAGCCGTCAAGCCCAGGGAGAAAGGCTCAGGCCAACCCGGGACCCAGTCTCACCTTGATCTGGTCACTGTCGGACCAGTCGGACCAGTAATTTAGGTCATCGTTGGCACCAATTTCTTCTGCAAACAGTGGAGCGGAGACCAGAAACAAGACTGCCACGACCACGAGGGTTTTCATTTTGGGTTTCTGAGAGGAGTGCGGGAGAAGACACCGAGGAGAGAGTGTATATTATAACTATGATGGGTACAAATGTATTTGTAAGAGTACAGTCTTGGGCCCCACCACGGGACTCAGGGGCTGAGCAGAGAGAAGCACCCCAAAGCTTCTTCACCCTTCTCCCGAACCTCCAGTCCCCGGCCCCCAGCCCGCTGACCCACACCCTTAAGCCTGGAGACTGCGGGAGGAGGACAAAGAGGGGCGTGGGCGCCGGACGAGCCTCGGGGTGGGTCTCCCCAGTCCCGGCCCTGGGAGCGGGGCGCAGCGGCCCGGGGCCCGG